ATTTTTGAGGCGAAATACCCAAAAAGAAGTTTGTAAAAAATAAATCCGCCTCAACAATATAGAACTTATCTACAACTTGAATCATATTAGCGTTCGTTAATTATCGCTAGCGCCTAGCACTCGAGTGGATCAGAATTTTTCTCGTTGCAACTGATTAAAAAACCGGCTACGTGAGGCATCACATGAAACAAGAAAGTCTGCCAAATTTTATCTAGAGATCCGATCATTTCATTAGTTTAGGACTGCACAACAGACTGTCTTGTTGATGAATCATCCATTTCATCCATAGTCTCAATGAACGCGTCTCTATATTCGACTAAAACCTGCGTCAATACATTACGAGTTTAATCGATGTTCAAGTAAATGTCCACATCCGCAAGAGTCTAATGTAGTTGTTGGGCTGATGCAAAAAACTATGCCTTAAAACCGCATTATTATACCGACATTTCTAACTCGGGTCTAGTTTGTACGAAATTTAAAAATGCGATTTCTCAATTTTTCTCAAAGATAAAAGTCCTTGGGTGTTGAGTCCGGTAACTTGGCTGGCCACAAAATAGTACTGTGGTTACCAATCCAATTGTTACCAAAACTATTTTACAATTGCAGCATCGTGTGTGCTACAATAGGGCGTTTTTAGGCCCCTTAATTTCAACACATTTTACGTTATCCGTTATTCTGAGCATGCGCATTAGTAAAGAAATAACCGTTTACGTTATTAGAGGATAACGTGTTCCTTTATTTACACGTTAAAAAGCAGAACGACGGTGTTGACATATTTGACTTATTTCTAATATTATTAATAAAATAAGCAGCTATAATAGAGTACGAAACTTTTGTAAATTTATATAAGACTTTTTCATTGATTAGTTTACGCCATTATTGCGTATGTACGGATTTTATGTGAAAATTGTTTGAGCAAATTTCAACTTTCGCAACACTACTAACATCGCAAGCACAAGTTCTAACTTCTAACCCATAACCTAACTATTTGATTTTGAATTGAATTTTTATTTAATATGTTCGAAATATGTTCCTTCTGAAACCTAAAATTGCTAAGGCGATCTCCGGGCTCAATATTTTCTAAATTAAAAATAGCTGTTCGGTTTGCAACAACAGGTGGGTCAAAGATGTGTAAAATTAAGCCTCTTATTAAATCGTGATCCACATCTCCCTGGTCATTTCGGTGCAGAAAGGGAGCTTCAATGTTTTCTTCCATCTTAGCCAATTTTTGTTTAATAACAATACAAACTTAAACTAGCTTTGAAACTTTTCCACCCAAAATGGGATAAGAAAACAATAAAGTAAGGTTTATTTTATTAAGAGTTCAACCAAAATCGCCTGGTCTGAGTAATAAACTTTTTTCGTCCTATACAGCTTGAAAGCACACTTTACTTAACGTTCATTCTTGACTCTTGATATAACTAGATTTTGCATTGAGATTTTTACATTATTTTCAACAGTTTCTAATAATGTTATTTATTTCCTATTTGGTCTTGTCTTCTCAAATTGACCACAGTTTATTCAATCTTGCTGCAATCGTGGAAAATTTCCCCTAAATTGTATTTTCTCTGGCTACCACTTGAAGTAAAAAGTGATTGCCGTCTGTATTTTCCCGGGGTTTTCATAGCCCTTAAATTTCATTGCAAAATGACTGCAAAAACGCAGAAATAAGCAGGATATTTTGGCCAGACACGGAAAACAGCAAAAAGCTCGTTGTTGCATCCAGTCATATTTCCATCCTAATGTAGGTACATTTCGCATTTAATTCCCTATTCTTGATATGGATTTTCTTGAACTTATCCACATTAATTAAATTAAAGACCACTTTCATAGTGCACAGTCAATAATTATCAACAATGATGGATTATTATTATTGTTTTTAACTGATATTTGCCGCGCGGTGAAATAGAAAGGCGACAAACGACCGATACTAATCCACTACTCAATAACGCGGCTGGCGCTACACTAAATGCAGCGAAATCTTCACTAAACGCGGATTTGTTTCAGAATCACCAGAGGGAAGCGGAGGGTTGCGCGGGTTCATAAAAGAGCGCAGAGAGCACGATTGTGTGGCCCACACTAAATAATAAGACATTATATTGATCAACTTTAACTGCGTGTTCCGCACTTTGCTTGCAGTTTGCACGGAATTTTTATATACCTTTTTACATTTTTTTGGCTTAAAACTCGGTTCAAATGCGGTTTTTCAGTTTTTCCAAAAGATAAAAGTCCTTGAGTGTTGAGTCCGGTAACCTGGCCGGTCACAAAATAGTACTCTGATTATCAATCCAATTGTTACCAAAACTATTTTACAATTGCAGCATCGTGTGTGCAAAAATGTGATCTTACGTCCCATTAGAATCCTCTACAGCTTATCATCGGTTCTACATTTTGCCTTCAATTTTTTAAATACTTTTCAAATGTAATCGTGCCATAAAAAATTAATGGACCGATAATCCTGCCTCTGAGAGCTCTAATCTTCCTTGATTTATCCGCTCTACAGCTGAATGAGGACTTGGGTTGTGCCCACATGTGGGAGTGTTAGCGGTTGAAAATTCCAGCACGACTTACATAAGTTTCGTCAGTTCAAATAAAATTCCACGGAAAATCGGGACAGTTTTCAAAAAACCCTCTACACAAAATCATATAATTTTCAAAATCGCCTGGTCTGAGTGATCAACCTTTCTCGTCCTATAGGGTTTGAAAGCACACTTTACTTAACGTTCATTCTTGACTCTTGAGATACTTAACTAAATTTTGCATTGAGGTTTTTAGATTGTTTTCAACAGTTGCTTATAATATTATTTCTTCCCTATTTGTTCTTGTCTTCTCAAATTGACCACAGTTTATTAAATTTTGCTGCAATCTTGAAAAACTGCCCGTAAGAAACCCCCTGAACTGATACGCATTAATTAAATTGAAGACCACTTTCATAGTGCACAGTCAATAATTATCAGCAATAATCGATTATTATTGATTTTAACTGAAATTTGCCGCACGGTGAAATAGAAAGGCGACAAACGACCGATACTAATCCACTACTCAATAACGCGGCTGGCGCTACACTAAATGCAGCGAAATCTTCACTTAAACGCGGATTTGTTTTAGAATTATAAGCAATTATATCGATCAACTTTAACTGCGTGCTCCGCACTTTGCTTGCAGTTTATATGATATTTTTAGCAATTTTTTTGTTTAAAACTCCTGGCACTTTTGGGATTTTTACCACAAATTTTGGGCAAAACTCGAATTTTCGACAGAACAATGATTGGATAACTATGCAAACACACTAGTGAAAGTTATAATAAAAGAATACGCATATGAACTAAATTAAGTGGAAATTAACCAACTATGAAAAAATTGTTTTTTTTTTTTAATTTGGATCATCCTGCATAACAGAGATGAAATGAAAATCCAACAAAATAAATATTATAGTTTGAACAGGTTTTTGGGTGTAGAATCGACTTATCCAAATTTTCTTGGCTCAAATGTACAAACCGTTTTCTTGGCTTGGTTTTCCTACACAATTTAGCACATTATTATTGGCTGTAATTTGAGACCACTTAAACGCATTGAACATTGATTAGCGCAATTCATTCTACGTCCACATCACATTTATAGACTTATTAATTTTTGTTTCATTATATTTCCATATAAAAGAAATCATATTCTCTTGCTGTCTGGTATAATTGATGCTTTCGCAGTGCTAAATCTATGTTAATTGTTTATGAGACGTGTTTATTATTAATGTCCATGGCTTTGAGCTGACTGCCACCAACATTCTTCAAAACAGCTGGTTGAATTTATATTGAAAGTATGAAAATGTTGATTTTCTGGAAGTTTTCGGTCCAAAAAGTAGAGGTTTTTCATCTGTGCGTTTTCAGCTCAATAAATGGCGTTCGGCCTTAAAAATTACGACAATAAGCTTATGCAGGACGTCCGAAAAGAACTGCAAAATGGGTGCCTCAAAATTGGGGTGATTCCTTTTAACGGGTTTTAAGGGCACACTTGGAGAGTTCGACAAAAATTTTCTACGAAACTGTTGAAAATAAAAAAACAAACATCGGATTTGAACAGATGAGCTGATTTTTCTTATATGGACTTTCTGCTGAAATATTTCAATTTCCCTCTGAATCACGCTATAAAACTGATATAAACTCAACCAAATCAGCAAACAGCGGATTGTAAAGCTGGAAATCCCCTTGGGCTGAGTAGAAAAAAAATCCATTACTCGCAACATCGGAGGATGATGAAACCTTGTATGCTCTACCGTAGGCCGGTTTTCAGGAATTATAAGCCGCAAAACCGCATCAATATCGGTGAAAAAGCGATTAAACATAGGAAAATTAGTCGCAGGACTTAATTGCAATTACCCCAACCAGCAGTTGGCTGTTGACTAATTTAAGTAAAACCGCTGTAACTTTGTTTGTCATTTTCTCAATTGTGCTGCGGTCAAGCTTGCGTGGCAGCAAATAATCCATGCACTGGGACAATTGAATATCTACTGCGTTTTAGAATTTTTGGCTGGATTAACAGTCGCTTTTGATGCGGAATTAAATTTCCCATAATCAGTGTAATGAGTAATGCTGAGTCGCTATCGGCAACATGGACATTCCGAATGGAAGCATTGAAACAATGCCTCTGTTTGTCTGAAGCTGAAGAATGAAGATACAGGCGAAATTGCAAAGCCCAGACAAGCAGCTAATGATGCGTTTTTGTTACAGTTCCCACTGTTGGAGTGCGCCATGTCCAGGCCCTACTGATGTTCTTTTACATGTTAGTAACCATGCTGACCAGATCAACCATGTCTATAGCTGTAGTTGCAATGACTGATAATTCAACAGTCACTAATGATGATATAGTAGTAAGTAAAAGGTGCCTAACTGTTTTCATATCCGAAACACTCACTAAGTTTAAGTACAGAGTGATTATATCAGGTCTACATGGACAAGTTGCTCAAAATTTTCAAAGCGGACACAACACTCTTAAACTCCGGTTAATTTGCTGTTGCAGAGTTTAAGTGTATTTGTGCACGTCTAGATGGACACTTTTTACGCCTTGCATTTACAAAGTTCGCAAAATTCAAAATTTAATGCCACTTCGTTGAAAAGCACAGCATTTAAGGGTTTACCTACTAGCTATAAAAGGAACAAATTTCAAGTTTTCCTTTCGCCAGATTGGAAGTTGCGAATTTTTTGAAACTCGCATTTACTAAGTTCGCGAAATTATATGCGATTTAAATGCAAATGAGCTTCAAGCATTTTATCAAATTTATATTATAGTGCAGCATTTGGACCCTAACTAACACCTAAAGTTGGTAGAAATTTCAAATTGTCACTTCCACCAGTTTGAAAATAGTGAATGTTGAAAAAGGAGCGAACATCTGGATCATTTTGTGAATCGCATTTATTTACGAAGTTCGCGGAAAGCTGGATTTTCCGCGATTTAAAGAAAATTGCGGAATTTGAGCCTTCAATGATTAGATGCAGACGAGACAAATATCAAGGTTCTACTTTTCTTAGTTGAAAAATCGAAAATTTTCAAAAAAATGCTAAGATCTGGATGCAAACATTCATTTTGAGACTCGCATTTACAAATTTTGAAAAAATCAGAACTCTGCGCCATTTCCGTCACAATTTCAGCATTTGAAGCCAGAAGCGTTGCGAATCGATTGTGTAAATTGAAGGCTGCGACTTGCGATGGTTTAGGACTTATGAATTTTTAAAGGCCGACGCAAATCAGGTTGAAACGTTTAATTTTCAGACTTGCAACAATAAGGCTTTAGTGCATTGTTCTTGTCGTGCATGAAAAAATTAATGTTTTTGGCTCACCAAAAACCCGCAGGTGTCTTCTGAGGTTCACCAAAATGATTTCGATGTCGGTCAGGAAAAGCCATGTTTTTAGTTCATTTGGTTCACAAAACAAAAATATATGTTTTTTGGTCAAAAAATGCCTCGGTTGAGCTGTGAGCTTAAAAAAAATTAGTTTCAAAGTCGTTCAGAAAAAAAACTTGTTTATTTGGGTCACAAAACAAAAATTCATGTTTTCGGCTCATGAAAAACCCGCTGGTGTCTTCTGAAGTTCACAAAAATGATTTCGATATCGGTCAGGAAAAGCCATGTTTTTAGTTCATTTGGTTCACAAAACAAAAATATATGTTTTCTGGTCAAAAAATGCCTCGGTTGAGCTGTGAGCTTAAAAAAACTTAGTTTCGAAGTCGTTCAGAAAAAAAACCTTGTTCATTTGGGTCAGGAAACGAAAATTCATGTTTTCGGCTCATGAAAAACCCGCTGGTGTCTTCTGAGGTTCACAAAAATGATTTCGATATTGTTCAGGAAAGCCATGTTTTTAGTTCATTTAGTTAACAAAACGAAAATATATGTTTTTTTGTCCAACAAAACCCGTGGTTGACGTCTGAGCTTAAAAAAATGAGTTTCAAAGTCGTTCAGAAAAAAACCTTGTTTATTTCGGTCGCAAAACAAAAATTCATGTTTTCGGCTCATCAAAAACCCGCTGGTGTCTTCTGAGGTTCACAAAAATGATTTCGATATCGTTCAGGAAAAGCCATGTTTTTAGTTCATTTGGTTCACAAAACGAAAATATATGTTTTTTGGTCAAAAAAACCG